GCTGGAGAAGTGTGACCTGTGTATTTTTTTGTCACGGTGCATGTGGTAAACAAATCTTCTAGACACCCCGCGAACGATTTATTCAAATACACCGTGACAATTGCTTTGATTCCTCCATAGACCCTCATACCGACGTTTTTTTTGAGAATTCTTAAATAAAGACCAAGTCCAGGGTGAGACGACAAGAAAATTTTATATACTGAGTAATTGTTTTGCATGGATGGTGAATTTGTTGAATTGTGGTTGCCTAAAAATCCCATACCGGAAGTTATTAAAACACTGACTACCATAAAAAAAGATGATCAGATTTCCTTAACTTATACTTGTTTTATTTTATGATGACATTCACAGATTTATATTGGGAATAATATATCATATTATATTTCAAAATTCCGTTCCGGTATTTATTATAAAAAAATGCTATTAAAAAAGCCTGTATAAGCTGGGTACTCTTGGTCGTCATGAATTATTGGGACATTTTGATTTCAAACGAATACAAAAATTATATTTCAAACTTTCAATTCAGTTTTCACATTACTGTTTTTTTTTAATGTAGTACGACTTCATAAACACAATGAAATGAATTTTCTGTGGCCACTGTAAGACTGGTTGTCGTCGGTCATTATTGTATAGCGGTTTGGGCTGTTATTGCGTGCCAACTTCACACAAATATCGGCAGCGTGTTTTCAAGGTTCGTTTAACCTTTAACCTCTAAGCTTAAGTCGTATCACGTGGTCACAACGAGACTTTGTCATATTTAATAATTTAAGGTGGAATTCTTAAGTAGATGATGATTAATCATATTTATCCATGCATACTTCGTTCTGTGAGAGGGTATTGCGCGCCATTCTCTTTATGTTTTCATTTAGACTACCCCATGATTTCACTCCGGTATGTACGATCTCGCGAGAAGCAGCCATATTGTTATGCGGCTCACGAGGAATTGTTAGTCGGGGATCTAGACTCCTAAAAACGCTACTAAATCAGCTAATTTGATATCATTTCTGTCGTCTCTTCAACATATTCTTGTTATTTACAGTCTTATGTCGTGATTGCAGTAAAATGCAACATTATAAACTATGGACATTTACCTAGATTCCGCTTAAATGTGTGAGCGGAAAACCAGAAGTTGACGCAGTGTTCCATCGCTTCGTTTCTCCTTTATCAGCGGAGAAACCCTGCTTTTAAAATACATTATTTACATCGTTTATTGAACCGAAGATGCCTGCAATTCGGAATATCGAGGCTTTAAAAACGTGGCTGACAAAGAAACTAGAGCCTATGTAAGTAGTTTTTATAAACAAGCGTGGTGTATCACATCGTGAAAATTAGGTCGAACTACAGTATTGTACACCACAGAACTTCGTTGTAGTTTAGATTAGAATGTGGTATTTCACGAGCGTCTACTACACAGTTATTCCACACACATATCGTCAACAATTATTTTTTTTAAATTGTAGAATATATATCATCTCATCAAACATAAGTTTACGATTTGTCCAATTCCTTTTGTGGGAATGGTATCTATATTCTCAGAAAACTGAATTTGAAAGAGTTACTGCACTTCATATGAACCGTGTGCACATGCCTGATTTTCAAACTAAAATATTTTTGAGACCTGAGAACAATGTTTTGATGTACCAAAGTGGTACGTGGTTACATCTAGCTCTGTGTACATGTCTGTGAATGTGTAGGTGCTAGTTTTCATTGTGACCTTGTCCAAGTCCTAATGTAAATACCCCCCCCCCCCCAACAGTCGTGTATGGCTGTTATTACTGTAACTGCTTATTTTCCCTAGATTTCCAATTTAATATTTTCTATGTCCATATGGGGTTACAATTTTATCAGTATTTCTAACTCAATACCCCTGCCTTATCCCAGTTATACTATATCCATGAAGTTTTCAACTAGCTGCTAACATTATGGTGATAATTACATAACCATATGTCTTTTGCAATTAAAAAATTGCATGCATATTATCTACCATGCTGTGTTGGTATATTGGCCATTATTGGTATAACAGTAAAACAATACTATTTTGTAAATAGCTACGTGTCATTTTAACAAATGTGACTCAATGCATGAATTAACAGAAACTTATTAATTTAGCTAAAGTGTCAACAATCTTATTTTGAGAGTGTATTGTTTTAAATTGGCAATATCTTAAATTAGCGAAATAAGTGTAGGAAACTAATTTCCATACCGAGGCTAACAGTGTTCTTCATGAAGGAATTTTGGTGTGCACCCGTCTTTTTGCAACAACAGATAGTATTACGATTAAATTTTCTTTTTTAATTTGATTTTCCAATTACAAGACAGCAGAATTAGTAGAGTAATGCTGCTGAAACTGAAATAAAATTGAATGAGTAACACAATTGTTGCACGACCTAATAAAAGATTGTAACTGCAATGCTGCATATGTGTTCTGTAAACATATGTCCTTTGTATTGTCTCCTTGCTAACAAAATCCTGCATAAAATACTGCTGACATGATCCATTTCAATGACTTGGATGCTCTAACTGAATTGCTTCATTGCCCCTTCAATCAGTCTAAGGCATTTTGGGAATGTAGGCCTTAAAATTGGGTGCCTTGAAAATATTGAATTCCAAGCCTTTAAAACTGCAATGGCCAGTTATGAAATTGCTAGAGGTTTCTACTGTATAAAAAGGTATGCTGAATATTGTAATATTATGTCAACTTTCTTTTTGTAGTTGCGATGCTGATCCAGCTGCTTTGGCAAAATATGTTGTTGCTTTGGTCAAAAAAGATAAACCTGAAAAGGAACTTAAAAATATATGCGTGGATCAATTAGATGTATTTTTACAAAAAGGTAAGACTGCTTCATTGTTTAGTATCAATAGACTCTGGTGCTATTCAACTTCGCATGCGCCATCCACGACAGCCAGTTTGCCTCGGTTTTTCACAAGTTGAATACACTTCCCTGAGATATCCTACAGAGGATAGCAGCTTCATTGTATGTGTTCTAATAAAAAAACATGTTTACTATATTTTAAGACTATGCTTGGTACAAAATTGAAACTAGTATAGTAAAATACCCGCATAAAACTGCATATTCCTGCTGACCAAAAGTGAAACAATGTTGATCTACAACAGTTCCTTTTGCATGCATGGTAGCTAAGCAACCAAATAAATCAAAACTTCACTTTGGTTTATTACCTATTCTATTGTCATATAGAATGATACAATGTAGCTACTATTGTCAAACCTGTATTAGTGACCACCCAAGGTACCAAAAATATAATTGATTATTTAAATATGTGTGTTTTGGGACAAAAAAATATGTTTCATGAAAAAATACTATTGTAAACAACTTGTTTTTCACTTGGAATTTATTTTGCTGAAGAGGGTGAATCAGTGAAAATAAATTTCATACAAAACTGTCAAAATCTCTTTTCAGCGAAAAATCAATTCCAGGTAAAATGAAGTATTTTACTATACCATGTAAATACATTGGTTTTTATACACTGGCATATTTGACTAAACCAGTCCCAAAAGGGTTGGTCACTGGTCTCATCTGACAGGTGCCATTTATTTACAGGTCAGTTTACATGTAAAGTGCGTTGGGTCTGTTCTAAGCTGGTCACTATGGACAGGTCGTCTCTAAGACAGCTTTG